GACCCAATAAAATTGGCTGCCTGGAGAAACCTTTTAACTAGAAAAGTCAAAGAGGCAATTCAAAACCTGGGGAAAGACAGAGCAGTAGGTCCTGATGGAATCCCGATCGCTCACTTTCAAAAGTTTTGGGACATAATAAATAAGGTCCTGATGGAGAAATTACAAGAACTTTTAAAGAGGGGAAAGATTCATAGAGCAAGGAATGCTTCATTCATTGCTTTGATTCCTGAAAAGAAACGGGTACAAGATATAAAAGGATCTACAGCCCACAATCTCAATCACCAGCATGTACAAGATCATATCCAAGGCCCAAGCTTTACGAAAGATAGAGGTCCTGGACTATGTTATTTCCCCACAAGTTGTGGAGTTCGCAAAGGATCAATGAATCTTGGATGGCATGCTCATAGGACATGAGGCCATCCATACCAGGCTGAGAGAAAAATCCCTCAGTTAGACTGTAAGATAGGTTTCGAAAAAGCCCATTATCATTCGGATTTGAACTTTTTGGAACATATAATGAGTCTCATGGGAAGTTTCAAAAACAAAGAATGAGTCTCCTGGGCTTTGTCGAAAGGTCGAGATGGTAGATATATGGGTGCATTTCCTCGTTCCAATTCTTGGTCCCGATGAATGGATCACCAAAAGGGCTAGTGCTCCTGTTCTAAAGGGATGAAATAGGGTAAGCCTTTGTCACCTTTGTCATTTGTGATAGTTAACAAAGCATTTCGTGCAACGATTGATGGTGCCTATGAAGCAGGAATGCTCAGTGGTTCAAGGTTTTTTTTTTTTTGAGAACTGTTAACATTGCATTAAGAGAGTAAAATTTTACAGGACGTAGGAAGAAACAAGAGCATTAAAGAATGTAGATCCTCAACGTCCAAAATGCAAGGTGCATACGGATAATCTCAAGTACTTTCTGGTTAAGGGGTCAATATGCGAAAGACAAAATTAATGGGTAGCAAGTCCTCAACCAATTGGTGAAGAGGGTGGGGTGAGGAATGGATTGCAAGCGGAATAAGTACCTAAGTCTACCCCTATCCCCAGGCAAACCCAACTGAAAGCACAGTGGTATGAACTAACTGAAACATTTTAAAGAAATCTAGTGTTCTGGCCTGTCATCAGGAGGCCATATAATCCAATTAAATCAAACCTATCCAACCTCCCAATATATGTTCATACCTATACTCAGTTCCTTAATCTATTCCAGACAAGATAGAGAAGATAATGTGTACCTCTCTACGGCGTGGACCCTCTAATCAAAGAAGACTACATCTATTCCAATGATGCATCCGCACATAACACCCCACATTTGATAATGTTGCCCAAACTAATAGCATTGGGTGGCTCGTATTGTTGGATAAGATCGTAACTATCAACTTTTTAACTTTTTCCAAATAATGTACTATATGCAACGAAGATGCAAAGTCAGTGCAATGCCTTTTCCTTCATGGCGATACTGCTGATGACCTGTGGGTTGCATTATTGGAGTTTTCTGGAATACAATGGATGACACCCTAGTCAATCTCTGACCTGGTTAAATCATGGTGACCCCATAATGCCCAAACTAGTCATTATATTATGGAAGTTGGTCCCCATTGCTTGGAAGATTGGCATGAATGTAGTAGAAGAATATTTAAAGACAAGCAACACACGGCCACATGGATAAAAGAGAGGATAACAGCAACTGCAATTATAGAAACTATCATGTATCTTGGACTTTGGCCAGAAAGAAATTCTGCGTCTATTCAATTAGGAACTTTGAATCCCAGTGGCAGCTTATTTCAATGAGAGGGATAAAAAGGAATGCCAGATTTGCTTGCTGGATAGAACCTATGGAGGACACAATCAAACAACAAAAGTTTCTTCAAGGAAAAGGATACCCTTTCTTTTTCTTTTCTTTTCTTTTTTTTTTTTTTTTTTTCTCAAAACAAGGCCGTCAAAAGGAGATCTCAGGTTTTTTTTTTCGTGCACTGATCTAGCTCGAAATGACCCCCGGTGGGCACCAAACTGTTATCGATGCAGATTGGACGATATCAAGATGGGATTCGACAAGATCTGAACCACAAACTGATTTTTCAAAAGTATGGTAGAGAGTGGGGACAATGAAATTCTTATCTAAGACCATATCTACTAAAAAATGAGTAGATATGCTCTCAAATCAATGGCAGAGCCAGCATTGATCCGAAATACAAAATACAACATAAAATGCAAAAAAAGTAATTTAATTCTAATAAAAATAAATAAATAAATAATATAGAATAAAATAAATGCATAAAGAGTAAGAAAATACCAACTGGGCTAGTTAGCCTGGGACTTCTGAGGCTTCGAGGCCTCGCCCATATCAGGACCGGCTGAGTTTATGACATGCATCCTCTTTGTCTCTCTTCAAGTTTTGACCAGGCCTTGGCTTGGTTGGATAAACTTTTTAACCTAAGGATTGTAGATTTAATGGCCCAAAGCTAAGGTTTTCTTATATCTATGTTTTCTCAGGGTCTTCTCAGGTTTTCTCAATGTCTCAGGTTTCTTGGCCCACCATTTTTCAGAGTCTAAGGAGTCTAAAAGTCTAACCTCGTAAATGATCCTGAAATGATCTTTTAAAGGCTGAAATTTGGCTGGAGTGGGTAACTGCCAATTTCAAATGGATTTTCCAGCCCGAATTGTTGTTTTGGGTCAACATACCAAAGGGTCCAGATTCAATGAATTTGCCCAATAATGGTCGGGGAGTGGTTGGCATGCGGAAACTGCCATTTTGGGGCAGTCTGGATGAGCGGCACCAATGTTGTGGCCCAGACCAAATTTGCTCAGAATTGGCAAATTCCAGTTCTTGGGTGATTTACGGGCTCTTGTGATGCTCACTACCAAAATTTGGGTAAAAACGAGGTGTTTTGTTATTTTGTAATGATTTTTTTACTAAAACATGGTGTTTTCCAGGATTTTGGATCACAATATAGGTATCACGGACTATGGTGGTCTATAGTTTGGGGGTTCATTGGGATAGTGTGGTCTTAAGGTTGTCTAGGGTTTAAAAAAACCATTGAATTTGACACTTTTTCAAAATGGGGTGTTTACAATTCTTAATTTCATAATGATGGGAATGGCCTTATCCCCGGTTTTGAAATTCAAGCAATGAGGAAAAACAAAGCAATTCGTATAGTCCCAATTCCAATTGAAGTTACACGGTCACAAATGATCCAAGTTATCCTTGTCATACATTTCACAATAAAGCAAGATGGCCTAATCAATTGAATATTACAAATAAATGCAATACGTGACGCACAAGAATTCCAAATCATCAATCAGCCAATCGGGATCCTAAGGTTAGGGATTCCTAAGATCATAGTAATGGGGTATGCCTTAATCTATAAAATACAATTTAAGAAGAAACAAAGGAGCCAAGCCTAGAGGAATCAGTTAAACCATTCTTTAAGGTAAATTCAAAATGAGATCCCTCCCCTCCAGAGCAAATAGAAGGAATTGACCCTTTGGAAATTTTAAGAGGCCCACTAGGTCCGACTTCACTAGACTTCCTCATAGACCCTCCTATTTACGACAAGAAATCGAGCCCAGAGGACTTAATTCAATTACCTCGTAAGGCGAACCCAATAACTAATGATGAAGGGGAAACCTGAATCTCATTATCTCCAAAAGTGTAATGCCTCCACGACAATTGATGTCAGAAGTCAAACCCTAGAAATTCTAAGGGGACCACCAGTGCCACTCTCACAAGGCTACCTGGATAACCCACTTATCTGGATGAAGAAGCCCAAGAAGAAGAAAGGGGTAGGGGCATGACTTCGTTAACCCGGGCACCCCATATTCAATAGGATCTACCTCTTGAAACATAAAGTTTCGAAGAAGGTCAAACAGGGGTAGTCACAACCACTAGCTCAATACGGATTGTCCCATCTGATGAAGATGGTACAGAGGTTGTCCCATCGACATTCCAATCAAGGCAGTTTCAACCACCGATGAAAATACAATTGAGGCGGTTCTATCCAACATACCTATAGGCTTGATCCAATGAAGAAGACCCTACAAGGGCAGCCCCACCAAAACACTTGATAGGGGCAGCCCTACCAAACCACTTCAGGGGGCCACCCCTTTTTTATGATGAGAATATTGTAGGGGTAATAGGTGAGGCTATTTGAAGACATTTTTCAGCACCTTCAGTCCCCGATGTGGAATAAAGAGGAAGCTGGTCAATAAAGCCTAAATTACAGGGGAATTCTCGACAGTCTCATAATTGCCTCAAAACAGGTAGAAATCTTCCTAAGCACTTCAAAAGGCCACCTGTCAAGTTTCGTCGCAATCCGGCATGTCTAAGGCAGTACAGACAAAGAAACAATTTCGGAAAAATCAGTCCCTAGCGCCCTGAAATGGACCCCGTAGCTAGAGCCCCACCCCTTCTCATAGGACTGAGTTGTTTGGATCCAAAATGGAAATTTATCCTTATGAAGAGGACTCACAAAATGCTAGTACTTGGGTGAAGAGCATGCAGATCATCGATGGAGATTAAGCACGGTCTTTGACAAAGTATTCGACATGATCAACAATCTCGGAGCCTCCTGTCAGAGTTCTCGATGTGCTAGTGAGGTTTTTGAATTCTTCGCTAAGGAGAGTGCCTGTAAACTTCCATTGTCATCTCGAGTTACAATTTGTAGAGGCCCATTTTGTTAAGGGTTCATATTTGTATGGGCATTATGATGGTACATCCAGTTTTGACTTCAGTGAAATAGTATTAACTATAAAAACTACTATTAATAAGATCAGCAAGAACAAACTAAGTTTTACAAGGTAAGGACTCAGTTCATGCATAATGATGGCAACTTCCTGGGTTTTGTACATAATCTCTTAACAACACTCTATAGGCAACATTAATTACTGCTGGCAACAGTGAACTTTAACTACCGTAATTAATGGTATTCAGTGAACAATCATGGTCAACATAAACAGAAATTCAATGCTAATGGAGAAAATAACATAGAAAAAAAAAATCATACCTTGGAGCTAGTGAAGGTTTCATCAAATAATAATAGGTGGATAATGTTTGATGCATGACATAATTTCCCGTATACTTTGCCGACTTAGAGAGATATATAACTGCCATCAACAGAGGCAACAAAATGCAAACTCCAACAATTCCAAGCAAAAGTATTCCACCTGATGCCCCGTCAATGTTAAGCAAGAACTGGGGTAGGGCAATGCCCATTTGAAGCCCCTGCATCCACATTCAATTGAGATAAAGATTAATCTTCAAAGAAAGTGTATAATTCCAGAGCAAACAGACATATTGACAGGGTAATCCTTCCATGAGAAACCTGTCTGCCATCTGGATGACCATATTTTTCAAAGTTCTCACGAGATACAGGGTCAGTGAGAGCCTGATATGCCTTTGATATGAACTCCACAAAGTATTTGTGGGCCTCTGCAAACAATTCAAGTTTCAAAGATACTTTAGTCAAAACAAAAGGACTACAATACTCCTGTCCTACGAAGCATTCTCAAAAGAGTGAATGGTATATCTAAACTGAACTGTGAAAGGGAGAGTCAAATAAGCAATAAGAATTGTGAAAAAATAAATAAAGAAATAACACCAAGAAGCAACCTGGGTCGGGATTCTTATCAGGATGGTACTGAATGGAAAGTTTCCGATATGCTTTTTTTATTTCTGACTCTGAAGCTCCAGGTACCAATCCAAGAATTCCAAATGGCTCGAACGGTTGAACCTATACAACAAAGCATGCAGCACAACCTTCAGTTTTCAAAAAAAAAGTTAAAATTTTAAAATCATTTTTGGGAAAAGATTTTAAATTTTTAAAATCCCTATGTTCAACATGATTGTTTCCCTAAACTTAGGCTACCTATTAACATGAATTTTTGCTTCTGATGAACTAGAAGAAATGCATGTTGGATGTCTTGAATAAGAAGAGGTTTTAAGCATTGGGAAAGCTCCAACAACATATAAGTTATATGTGACCCCATGTCTTAGCCGTTCGATCTGAATCAAAAGGCTACAATTGTTCATGCTACAATCTCACGTCAAACATTGTTCTATTTTTCTTTTTTTTTCTACAAAATATTTTTGGATGAAATTTTCTGCGTCCCATCATAAAATTAGGGCCAACCTGGAAAAAATAAAATAAAAATTTTCATAAATTAAATGACCAAAATGCCCCTGAAATTTCAGGGGTATTCTGGAAATTTCTCATCGTCAGAAATACTTGTTTTTTATTTTTTTCATGTGTGCCCCTGTTAGGTCTATGCATGCCCCAAATTTTGCTTCAAAATGATTTATATAATAAACATTAAAAATAAAAAACTATTGAGTAGTCTGATCAAGATCTGACGGTTAAGAGCCAACTTATGACATTGTAACTCAAGCCATCTCAGCCATCTACTCAGATCTGATGGCTGAGACCAGGGGTCACATATACTATATATGTGGGTGGGGTTACATAGAAAGCTTTCCCTTAAGGATTATCCCTATCTTCAGATTATTTTATTCAAGTTTACATTACTGTTATAGACATCTCTTCTACTATTCCAAACCATTTTACAGTAAGCAGCCTATTAAGTTACAATAAGTTGAACAAACTTAACCTGTTGAATCACATCAGAATTTCATTTTTTATACATATATAGTTGAAATAGTATTAAGAGAATGAAATATAGATCAAGTCATCAAGTTATACTCAGAAGGTACACACACACACATACACAAAGTCAGTTGAAGTGTTGAACCACAACAGGTACACATTTAATTGCCTAATTACTTGGCTAACATCCGAAAACAATAAGGATTTTGGCAAGTCTATCTAACATGGACACGTGTCCATGGTTTTTGTTGGGTATTAAAACACCAAGGGCGCAGGGTACCCATGACAATTCTTGTTAACCTTTCTCATTGAAATCTCATATTAAAAGCAGTTATGATATTCAATCTTAAAGGTCAACATTTTATACCGTGAGAGTTTCCAAGCATCACTTCTTATTTGTTGTCATTGGTGTTCTGCTAGCCAAACAAGATGGGATGTGTGTCTGTATATATATACATACAAATATATATATATATATAAACATATACACACACACACACACATATATATATATATGTATAAATATATATATATATATATGTGTATAAATATATCTATATATATATATGTATGTATATATGTATGTATGTATCTACATATGTACGTACATACACATGGATCTATATATATGGGTATGACTGAAAATGGTGATATGGAACCTTAGGTATATCTGAATCCCACATTCCGCAATTTGGTTTTCTTTTCATGATTCATAGTGACTCAGAATACAATGAAATTGGAAACTAGTAAACTAGAAAGTTCAATAAATCAGACAACAATGTTTCACCTTCTGAACCATTTAATTATTCACGCAGTTTATTTTTGAATTACCTTCCGAACCATTTAATTATTCACGCATTTTATTTTTGAACGCCATCCCTTCTTCAGCAACTTAGTTCAAATAATTTATCCAATGGTTGATATCATCAGAAGGAAAAGGAACATACCTCACGACTTATATGATTCACATAATAAATCAAGAATCCCATGGCAACCCATAGCAGAAGCACAGTCATATTGCTCCATGTGGAAAAATTTGATATCTGAAATGTGACCCAAAAGTTACAAAACTGTAATGAACAGTTATAAAGCATTCATTACTTTTCCAAGGAGTTAGTTAAGAGAGAACATTCAGCCATTCACTCTTTTAAAGTGCTTTCGATTTTGTCACCTAGACAAAGAATTAATTTGACCACCAACCATGTCAGGGGATGACTTAAAAAGTAAGTAACTGAATGTGCTCCTTATTCCAGATGCCACCCAAAATGGAGATTAAGAAGAACTTGAGAGCGCTACGATTAATACTAAGGCAAACGTACCCGTTTTAATATAGATTTACGATATTTCCCTGAATGTGAACAAATAGAGCACGGGCAATGGGTGCTCTTTGTCTTCTTGGAGGCAGCAAGCAACACCCTATGGATAGTATACGGGACCAAGGACAGTGCCATTATGGTCAGGATAAAAATTGGAAAGAGTGAGTTATTCTCCTCTGTTGCTGCCATGGCTGCAACTCCAAATCTATCCTTTATTGGCCACTAAATGATGAGAAGATCTGAAAAAGAAAAGACCAATTATTTAATCACAGACAAGAGGTCAGTTAGGTGACAAAATCAAGCTCTGTAGACATCACGATCATACATATGTACAAACACATAAAAGAAACCTTTACAAAAAAAATAGTCAATGCAATATATAATGCTTAAAAGTCAAACAGATGACTGTAAAGTAGCACTTGGATTACATCGATAACTAATAGTACTGCACTCACTAGCAGATCTCTAGAACTAAAGTCATCTAATCTACAGAACAGTGTTTCCGAAATCAGCTCAGGCAAGGTACTTGGACCTGGACTCCACCGAGTACTGTACACATGCGTAGAAAAGAATAAATCCAAGTAACAGGAAAATTTTGTTTGACTGGGGGAGACCACAACCCATGTGGCACACCATACCCCACACGACCACCACCTATTGCCCTAGATTTCCCTGAAATCTTTCTCTCCACTCTCTTACCTTCTCCTTCAACCCCCAACAACTTTTTCTCCTCTCTCTCTAAGCTCATGAGAGGATTGGGGTTTTTCTCTGCAAAACAAGAAGGAAGAGGATGCAAAAGGAGGAAGGAAGAGGAAGATAGAGAGATCAGGAGGAATGGATTAGGTTAGAGTTTCACTGCCTTTGAGAGAACCAAATGCTTCTCTATGTGCTGCCCATTTTCATGGCAGGCATAAATTTGCAAACCCTCAATCCCTTCCTTCCATTTGTAAGAAGACTTAGCTACTTCTCTTCTTCATTGTTCGCAAAACCGGCTGGTCTGAACTGGAACCGGCCAGTTAGCTCGGAACCACTAGAGATTTCATAGAGATTTGTAGTATCAGTAGTCTAACGAACACCTCAAAAAAAATTTGGGTCCAAAACTGGCCAGTTAGGCCTCAAACAGGTGAATTTTATTAAAAACCAACCAATTTCTGCTAATCGGACCGGTTTAACACTAAAACAGGTGTTTTTTCAAAAATAATGGACATTTAAAAAAAAAAACGGGCATTATTTGAAAAATGAACATTATATAATACAGGAACCCGTGAATCTACCTTTCACAACTTTTTAGATTCTATTTTCTATCATTTTTTGTAATTTTTGGTGCTTTATTGATGTATAACACTATCAAATCTCTATGAAACATTGACTCTAGAATGAAAAATCGAAAAGGAATGAGATTTTGTGGATTGTAGTGGCGGATTTTCAAAGCTTCAAAATTTCCGCCATTTTCTCAATAGCAGCTTCAATATTGTATGGATCTTCATGAAACTTGAGGGCCATGAATCATTATTGAAGCATTCATCATCTCCCGATTTCAATTTGTCCGAAAAGAGGAAGATTGGAGGATGATTTCGGCCCGAAAAGCTGCCGCTCGAAGACTATGTTCGATCCAAAAAATTGATTTGTGATCGATCTATTCCTCGTTTTTTATTGAACTGAATTGTGTATTTTGATCAACAAAGCTTCATCTGTCAAAATACAGCAGATATGTTGATTTATTATTGAGTAAATTTTTTTTCCTACGTTTTTGTCATGAAAATTTCATGAACTAAAATTTCTGCCATTTTTTGAAGAATGTTCTCAATACTAAATGGATCTTCAAGAAATTTAGGGCATTTGAATCGTAATCGAAGTATTCATCATATCCTTATTTCAATTTGTTCAAAAACTGGAAGATTGGGGGTTGATTTTGAATTGAAAATCTTGGTGTTCTTGTTCATTTTGCCTTGATTTTAGGGTTTCTTAATAAAATTTTGTTTTTCAATACAATTACATTTTTTTATAAAAATATGTTTTTTGTGATGAATATATATATAAATATATATATTCTTTCTTTTTAATGTTATATATTTGTTTTAACAAAAAAATAAAATAAGTGTATGATATAGTGCATGATAATGTTGCTCGATCTTTAGCTCGATTTTTTTTACTCGATCTTTTTAGTTGTTTTTATTAAGTGCATGATGTAGTTGTATTTGTAATAATGGAGGAAAATAGTGCATCTTTTATCATACGAATTGAATTTCTTTTTATTTTGGGTTAATTCTAGTTTTCTTAACGATTTTGGCTTCATTTTAGGTTTTCTTAATAAAATTTTGTTTTTCAATAAAATCATGTTTTTTTATAAAAATATGTTTTTGTGATGAATATGACAAAAAATATATATATTCGTTTTTTTTAATGTTATATATTTTTCTAACAAAAAAATAAAATAAGTGTATGATATAGTGCATGATAATGCTACTCGAGTTTTAGCTTGATTTTTTTTTTGCTCGATTTTTTTAGTTATTTTTATAAAGTGCAAACCCTAGTCCAACACATTCCCATCTACATACTATATGGTATAGGAAGGAAGCATATATCTTGTATCCTTAAAATTATAAGATTTTTATTTATGATAGAAAATATTGGGTACACTTTGATAAATAACATGGTTTATAAAACTATATTGACGTCAAGAAAAAAGTAACAAACTATGGATGATGCATGGAATGGCCTAAACTATGCCCCACGTGCACTCACATCTGCATACATGTATACACTGGTTCTTTCTTCTATTTGAACAATATACAAGCATATATTGTTGCATCATCCATAGTTTACTTTTTCTTTTATTATTTTCTTCTATGGCCCATAAAGAACTAGATATAAATCTTTGTTCCAAATATTTTATTTTAATCTTAAAAATTAAATTTTGTTCGCACTTCATTTATTTGTTTATTTATTTTGTGTGTTTACTTGTATGCTTAATTACCTTGAGTTGCATTATGCAAAAAGGGAAGAATCCATTTGTAAGGCTTTATTTAATTTTGGAAAAAGTTTGTATAGAACCGAGGCTCTAAACAATCAAATTAGAGCCTACCTCAAAAATTTCACTAGAAGATGTTGTTTTGATGCCCAAATATCATCAAATTGATTATCTCAACATCAAGATGCATGGACATGAGAAAAAAATAGATTTCAAGTTTTGAAAATAGTGTATTTTGTAACGCACTTTTGGACCATCAATTTTCAAGATTTTCAAATTTTCATAGATCTCTCAATCTACACTATTTTTGAAGCTTTAAACTTTATAAATAAAGATGAAAATATATTTTAAGGCTATCAAAAAGATTTCCAGCTTGAAATCACATTTTTCGACACTATTTGAAGGTAGGCTCTAATTTGATTGTTTAGAGCCTAGGCTCTATACAAACCACACCCTTTAGTTTTTGGGTCATTGAAAATGTAAAGAGGACCTTGCTTAGGTAAAATATTGAGGCAAATATGTCCCAAATAAATATGTTATTTTACAAGAAAATTAAAATTCAATGATAAAATAAGTTTTTAATGAACTTTTATGTTTATGAAAATTTACAAGAAAATAATAAGATGAGGAGGGTAGATGTGGCGCGGCAGTATGGTATAAAAGTGAATGATAAGGGAAGAGTTCAATGTAATTTTTGTAACAAGGAAATGGGTGGTGGTGTTTATCGCCTAAAAGAGCACCTTACTTGAGTAAATGGTAACATCACCAGTTGTAAAGATGTGCCACCTGCAGTAAAACAACAAATGTTAAAATTAATTACTAATGGAAAAGGAAAAAAGGCGCAGAGAGAAAGGGATACAGAGGAGGTAAGGAGGGGGTACGAAAGCCCTACAGATGAAGTTGAGGACCAAGAAGCAGAGTTCGAGGCACAAATAGAACGAGCTAGGATTGCCAACCTCCAAGAGCAGAATTGTAGACAAATGGAAATTCAAGAGATGTATGGGAGAAGGGATAGTGCATCTACTAACCGCAGCCTCAACAACCTATAGTACCGGGTAGGGGAGAATGCGGTCCTTTATTGCTTAGGTCCACATCTAGTAGATGGAGGCATAGTTTCTCTAGTCGCCCGTCATCTTAAAATCGACCATCTACTACTCACCGACATGAACCCTCTGGAGTTGACCTCCACAAGCCACAATATCATCAGAAAAAATTAAAATTTCTGTCAACAGGTATATTAGTGGAAAAGGCGAGAAAGAAGATTAGCCTATTCTGGTATGTTAATGCGCTGCCATTTAATTTTGAAAGCTCAGACGTCTACCCGCAGATGGTAGCTTCTATAGCTGAGGTAAGGCTAGGGTCGAGTGTTAGAGGCCCAACTGCGAAGGAGCTTGTAGGGCCATGTTCATGACAGACGATTGGAAGGACAAGTCCTACAAGCATCTTATCAATTTTTTAATAGGTTGTCTTAAGGGCATTGTTTACCACTCTAGCATTGACATATCAAATAAGAAACATACTAGAAGACTGATATGAACACACATGGACAAGATTGTAGATGAGGTTGGGCCTGAAAATGTGGTCCAAGTAGTGACTGACAATGCTACGAACTACAGAAAAGCAAGCTTGTTGCTAATGGAGAGTAGACCCAATCTTTATTGGACTCTTTGTTCTGCCCATTGTATTAATTTGATACTTAAGGAAATAGGGAAGCTGAAGATGATTAAAACTTGGATTTTGATGTACAACCTAATTACAAGATTCATATACAATCACACGTACTTCCATACTTTAATGAGGGAGCAATGCAAGTGAGAGATTGTTAGGAAGTCCACTACTAGGTTCGCCACAACGTTCCTTACTATACAATCAATATTGGGCAATAAGGCAAGATTGAGGTCAATGATACATTCTAACCAGTGGCAAACTAATAGGGTAGCAACGAGTCAACATGGAAGGCAGGTTGAAACCATCCTTGTCGATCGAAGGTTTTGGGCTCGATGCAACCATGTTGTTTCTGTAACTGAACCTCTAGTGCAAGTGTTGAGGTTAGTTGACTCTGATGATAAACCAGCAATGGGGTTTCTGTTCGACGCAATGGGACGCACAAGGGAAGCTATATTTCATAATAACATATGGACTGATGAGATATTGGAGATCGTTGATCATAGGTGGAGAAACCAAGTACATCGGGATATCCATGCACCAGGTAATTTATGATTCATCATCCCAATTCTGATTCTTTCTCAAGTCCGAGTAAATTTATCATAATTAATAATATAACAAACCATGTGCAGGGTTAACCCACAAAACTTGTACTCCAATGCCACCTTAGATGATGCAGATATCATGGAAGGGGTGAGAAACTGCATCTACAGGCTTGAGCCTGATCTTGAAATTCAAATGGAGTGTATGCAGCAGGTAAACCTTAATCAAAACGTATCTATAATAAAATTTCAAGTCAGAATAATGAATTGCACTTCTATGTTGTACTAATTTCTTGTATACGCATCTTGTTATTTGTAGCTTATCATGTACATAGAAAAAAATGGGGAATTTGCATATGCCAACAAAGCAATTGGAAAATAACACCCAGGTTAGTTTTAAGTTAAAACTTATAATAGTTTAGTACAATACTATTTGTGGTTTTTTTATATCAATTTCTTTTTTATTTTTAAGTATTTCTATGTTTGTCCATGTCAACACAATGGTGGACGATACACAGAATTCGAACAAAGCAATTGCAAAAGATTGCAATTAGAGTTCTGAGTCAAGCTTGTACTTCCTCTAGCCAAAATAGGCATGTGAGAGAAACTAGAGTACATTTCAATGGATACACGCCCCGAAGCATAATAGGTTAAAGACTCAAACGATGCACAACTTGGTATACATTCACTACAACTTGAAATTGAGAGAGAGACATATAAGGACCCCCACAGACTACATGCCGATCAACCTTGATTACATCTTCCAGAGGGACCTCGCCAATGAGTGGGTATCACAAAGGACCCCACTACTAAACCAGGACTTTCTTAGTGGGGCAGTTGCCGATATGGATAATAATGCGGATGTTGCAACACCCAATGAAGGAGACATGGCAGTGGACATGGATACCGACTATAATGATTATGCAGAGGATGAATATGAGGTACAGGATGACGAGGAGATAGATGGGACAATGGAAAATGATTGGCAAGGTCCAATTGTCCAGGAATGTGAAGGGGCGCAACATGATGCGGTGCCCGATGATCAGGAAGATCCAATGAGATTGGCTCGGGAGGAAGTTCAGGCATCGAGGAGTAGCAGCTACTCGACAAAGGAGAGACGAAGCCGTAGTCAGCACCGTAACCTGGTTATTCATGATGATGACAATATTGACGCTGTTGAGGGCCATTACATAGAACAGGGTGGGAGTAACACAGAACAGGGTGAGGGAGACCACGAAGGTTGGACGAGTCTAGGAGACTTAGGCCGAGGGGGTACCACAGGAAATGTTCCTGACTGACAAAGGAGCACAACTGCGACATTACAGACTCCACTAGGCCTGACTCAAAGTTTCACCCCGTGAACCCTGATAGCGAAATACAACAATACCCTGATCCCCCTCGCCACTCTCATTACTAGCCACTGTTAGTTGGACTTCGTAACTTCATCCATTGAATTAATGTCAAATTATAAATTGTCTTGCTTATCTCCATAGTATTCAAATATTAATTTATAATAAAAAGTTTCTCCAAAAGAAAATTTGTAAGATAAATGTATATAATATGATAGTATACACTTAATCTAAGTTTTTCTTTTTTTTCTTTTTTTTTTTTGTTTGGGGGGCCTTTTGACCCATTTAAAAAAAAAAAATCTACTGAACCGGTTAGTCGGGTTAACCGCCCTATTAGTCCAGTTCCAATTCTAACTGCTCCCAACCCCAAGTCTGGTTAACCGTTCCGATTTGATTTTGCGAACACTGCTCTTCTTACATCAAAGAGGGGTTTGCAAACGCTCTCCACTGGTTTTTAGGTTTAAAGAAAAAGAAGACAAGAAGACACCTAGTCAAGTTGAGCTGCACAAGACACATATGACAAACTAGACGCCTTGATGCCTCATTCCATGATCTGGGAAAGTTTAGAAAGAAATGGTTTTTTTAAGAGAGAAGACAAGAAGAATAGGTCGTTCACGAAGTGAGAAAGAGAGAAAGAGAGAGAGAGAGATTGAGAAGAGGGGGCAGATCTGGCCCCCCTTTAACAGAGAGGGAGATGACCTGGGGAATTTCATAAAGATAGAGGGACCTTTTTAAGAGAGAAAAACACGAAGGGAATGAGCCCATCTAAAGAGTAGGAGAGAAAGGAAGAAAGAGGGGACGGATCTGTCCCCCTTTTGAGAAAGAGATAGAGAGGCCAGGTTCTCTACTAAATTGGTAAAAGCAATCTAGATCATCCAAATTGAACTGTATCAACCATGAAAAAGACCACGCCCCATAGTGTATTGATATTTGGAACAACTATCTTACCCTATATGGCACTCAGCCTCACTATCATATTATACTCTATCAAACTGTTCAAAAGCCTACAATAGCCATCTCAACAGTATAACTGAGACTTAAATGTTGTTATAGATAGAAATTTTCTAGTGCAGCAAGAGTCATGATTCTCTCAATTTCAGAACCAATACTCCCACACCATATGTGAGGATTTACTTGGGGTTAAAAGATGCATCCGAGTGTTATTTACTTTTAACCTTTTTTTGTATTTTTGGGATTTTTTAACCTTTTCCTTCTATGTTGATTGGTTGGACCAATGTCCACAAGACATCATTTTTTTGGATAAGCACTCAATTGGGTCCCCATAACAGCGGCTCTTACTTGCCATTTTAACGGAACAAAAAAAATTGCAAAGAAAATCATAATCATAGCCTTTTCCCAATTAATTGGGGTCAGCTAACGAAATACTTCAGATGAGATCATAGAGAAAAAAGTTGGAGGGAGGTAAGAGCTGGATTATGTTCATGAAAAGATAAATATTTGCAAAAAGATCAACACTAGAGAGCCTTGAGAAGCAATTCAAAAAACATCACACAAAGCACAATGTTAACAAACAAAAGTGCTAGATTACAATATCATTTATCAAACTATCTGCCCCATTCTCGTCCTAGACAGAGAACTATACACAAAATCAGCAAAATAAATCCCAAATCGAAATCATGCTTCTCAAATTACTAGGACCTGTATCATTTCCCCAAGACTCCAAATCGTGAAAAGCACACGCCACATCTCTCGAGGAGAAGAAAACCCACAAAATTTGTAAAGGCAATTATGCTTAATCAGAGATATAGGGGAGAACGCCCATCATTTGAAATCTCAAATGAAAACCTTAATACTTTAAAGCCAAAGCCACTCCAAAAACCATAACAAGAGAAGCTTGCTAGGAAGGACGAAACAGAGAGAAGCTCATACCTACAAGTCTCTTCCAAAGCACGCACGTGCACACACACACAGAGGAGAGAGAGAAGTTTGAGTCATGGAAGTGGAAAAAGGTACGAGATCCATGGATTCACAAAAAAATCCAGATTTTTCCCATTTTCCCAACATTAATTAAAAAAATTGGTAAAATATACTTACTTTGGCTTCAAACAAGGCTAGAGTGATGGCCGGATTCACCGTGGAAAATTGCCAAAAAAAAGGGCCACGGGACTGTGGAGCTTTGTGTTTTGAGTTATGTTTTATTGAGATTCGACAGAAATGGTCAAAACACCAACCTAATTGCTATTTTTTTATCTTGCTTTAAAAAATTATCGATTTGATTTAGGTAAAAATTGCCACAAATTCAGCAACAAAACTGAACAGAGAACACTTGAACAAAACATAGTCAGGTTTCACAAAAGAAAAGCTCAAAATTCTACTTGGATCTAAAGCGCTATAAACATAATAGGCAACACACCAATGCAAACTATCCAAATTCAACATTTATCAAAAACCAAAGTAAAAAAAGAATAGATATGCTTGGTGTTATTTCTAAGAGCCAATATTGTCAATAAACAAACAACTTCAAATAAAGACACAGATGAATGAAAAACAACAAAATCAACCTAGTATTCGACTAAAATAAACAAAATCCAATGAACACCCTAAAATTCGACATACTTGAGATCAAGATTGAGTGATGAACTTCGGCAATCGATTGCCCTAGATCTAAAATCTCTTAATCATTTATTTGGGGAAAAAATATATGATTTAGAAGAAGATAAACTTCTGCAAAAAAAAAAAATTTGTTTTTACTTTCAAAAAAAAAAAAGAAATATATATATGTGATTTAGAGGAAACAAAAACTTCTGAAATTTTTTGTATGGCTAGAGAGAGAGAGAAAGGGTTAAAAAATGAGCTCAGAGAAAGAAAGAGAAGTGAGTGACATGGACCTTTAACATCGTTTTTGAAAGAGAGAAATCCCTAGGTTCAAAGTAGACGTTAGTGCAGAGTGAGTGAGAGGGCTAGGGTGTCTCAACGGTAAATAAATTTCGTGAAAATAAATTTCGAATGACACAAACGGCCATAATGGGTCGTTTGGGTCCTTGGATATGCAAATCTTGGGTTTCTCTCAATACCTGCTTTTGCAAATTCCAGTATATGTAAAAGTTGATTTGAAAACAATGTTGTTTGGTTGGCTACTGGAAGAATCCAGCATATGAAAAATACCCTGTTTGGCACCATGAAGATGAAAACCAGGTTTTGGTTGTTTGATGTTAATGCAGTTTAGCAATTCATTCCATAAGTTGAAAATTCCCTAGTAATACATAGCCAATAAAAAGGATTTTTTGGGAATAAGTTATCAACAATATAACAAATAAATTAGTGAGTTCTTATCTATTTGTCCTAAGAAGTCCAAAATTACACTTTGTAATAGGTTCTTTTTTAGGCTATCTGATCATAATGAAATTAAACAGTTCCATAGGCTGCGCTATTCCATGCCCTCTGCGAAAAATTGATCCTCATACAGAGTAAATTTCGCACCTAATTATAGCAACAAAAAAATTGAGCCGTAGCAAAGAGAACCATGTTAAATTGCTATTCAAAATTGCTCTTGCAAAAAACAATATGAATGGGAACAAAAAGACCTAATAAGCTCCGATTCACAGTAGAAATCAGATTTCTAGTAAGCTTTGATGTAATCAAAACAAAACAAAAATTTGATTATCGAACATACAAGATCAATGTAACATACGAGCAATAGAAATCATCTATAGAACATTCAAGCATTACTTTTAACAAACATAGGAAAACCCAAAACCTATGATCAATGAAAGCCTCAAAAGGAAAACCGAAAACTACATCAAAGCCCCAAAACGTCCCCCATTTCATCTACATCAAGTCTATAAAAACCAATGCATTCTGCATGTGTGTTAGTCCATTGCAAACACAAATGTAACACATGTTTAAATGACAAAATTCAATAAAAAACATCAAAATCGCTAGTGGTTTCTACTATCAAAAAGTGCATCAGTCTAAGTACTCCAATAGTTCAATACAATCAATTAATAATATGGGAAGTATATGTTCAGATCTAAGTACATATTCAGCCAAAAAAACAGCTCTAAGGTACAACTAACTCATTAGATCAATGATCGGTCAGATTCAGCACAAAAGGGAACTTCTAGCATATGTTCTTTTATTCTCCATTTCTTTGTAGTAAGTTTAAAGTTTGAGTTGGCTTGTACGTAAATTACAATAACTGAACTTGACATTATGCAACACTTTGTTTTGGGTAAGCTGCAATACTATTGAAAGAAAAAAGCACATTTTCCATGTGGAAGGGACCATTTACCGCATATCAAATTGTTACTTTCCCCCTTTTTAAAAAAATAAATAAATAATCAAGTTACTTTCTCTGCAGGCTTATCTTTAGCCTGATGATCTACAAAATCTCTATGCTAGTTATGATACTAATAGTCCAATGTGTTTGATGGTAAAGTCTGCATATTCATTGAGAAGTTTATGGAAGCACACTATATGACACTTGATTCTTGTCTTATGCACCACGCTTTTATGTCTCTGGCTTCGTGAAAAATGGCTGTGGCATTTTCTATTCTCACCCAGGGAAATAATGTCTGCAATAGGAAATTTACATGCATATCTAATTGTAAATATAATCTGGAAAATTTACTATCCAATAAAATACATGGAGCAGAAAGCATGTTAAAATATTGTGCAGAACCAAAAAAATAAAAAATCACTATGCAGAATCAAGCAAGAAGATCATTCATTCAACCTCATAGAGCATCGATATAGGAATTCTCTAAAATGAACCCAAAAGAGCCAAACGGGCAAAAACAAAAGATAGATACAACAAAAAAATAGAAAAAAAATTGCAAGCACATAAAGAACAATGAAAAAACAAAATTTAGAAAACAATAACAAAAACCTAAAGCCCATATCAGAAAGAAGGCGTATTTCCACAATCCCTCTGAGTATCCGAAAAATATAATAGAAGAAAGATAAAAAGAAAGAAGCAATCAATCTATAACAAAAATAAGAGAAAGGTGTAATAGCGTTAACAAGTATGGCCCAGATATTTGAATCCTCTGATCTGTTTCTTGAGCATTCACAGATATCCATTAACGGAGCCCCGCGGGGAAAATTACAGAATAAAAATAAAAATTGGGCACTCGATTATTTCAGGCGTCATAAACAGATCTCAAGGACCATCAACAAGAAATCCCCAAAAGATTGTCATAGAGATAGATAGAGCTTTAATAACAGGAAATCCCAAAAAATATCTAACTAAAAATGCCACAAATAACATGGTTTCTCCCAAAAACAGCTACATATCATATAAATTGGCCAAAAAACAGCCACTAAGAAACAGATCTTGAAAATCATATCATATAAATTGGCCAAAAAAACAGCCATTAAGAAACAGATCTTGAAAATCATGGGGAAAACCTCATGAAAACTCAGAGATTGAAGAACCCGTAAAACCCTAGCAATGCCTAGGTTTAGCGAACAAAAAAAAGTCACGAAGTGGCGTAGTTTTCTATTTTAGGGAAAGATATTCTTCAGAGTCTTCAGAAATCATACCTGGAGCTCTGATTTTAATGGCTGATGGGAGGTTGGCCACTCTCAACAAAACCTAGCAGTAATGAAGCTCAAAGTGCTATGATGCTATGAGCAATGGATTTTTGCAGTTATTGACTTTTATTTTTGTGAAAAATGAGCACGACGAGCTCGCTGCAAAGGGCTTCAATGGCGCTGAGAGATCTCTGCACATATACTCAAAGGCAACAACGGGCGTTTATTCGGAGTAAAACTTGGATAAGAAAACTTGATTTTGTGCATCCGGATCCCCATACGACCCATAAAAGCCTTGTACGTTTCAAACTAATTCTCAGGAGATTATTCTACAAGAGCGGGTATGCTATGCTCGCTCGGGAGCATATTATACATTTACTCCCTCTAGAATAATTATTATTCGAAGGACTAAGGCTATAATGCATAAATATTTTCTGTAAAGCATTTTCACAAAAATTGTATTTCATATGCTTGTTTGGTGCATAATAGATATACAAAAAAATTCATATTAAAATATTTTACCATGAAATCGTCTAATTCATGATAAAACAAAGCCTCACCTTAAGAGGTGGGGAAACAGTGTTTTTATTCTTTACAAGCGGACTTGCTACTCACTATTTATTATTTACAATATAATATATATTATAAAATATTTTTTTTATATATTAAATAAAATATTTAATATATAAATTACATTTCAATAATATTGAATATATATAATATATAAAAAGATACTACAAATCGTTTAGTGGTGAAAATGAACAGTGGTTTTACTTACTATAATCATCATCCAAACTTCATCGCACTGTCACAGTTGTTCGGTAGTATTTTAATTTTAATTCTTTTTATTAATCGGAAATATCTGAAATTTGGAGCTTGTACACATCTTAGTGAGGCGCACCGAATAAATATATGAAAAAATAATAATTCGTAAATATAAATTGATCAAAATACCCTCATATATTTTCAGGGGAATTTTAGTCATTTTATATTTTACGAATTATTTTTTTCATATTTTTATTATGTACGCCTCACTAAGATGTACATAAACTGTAAATTTCAAGCAATTTGGATTTATAAAAAAAAAAATGAAAAATGAAACACTATCGAATAAGTGTGACCGTACGGTGAAGTTTGGATAATGATGTACATAAACTGTAAATTTCAAGCAATTTGGATTTATAAAAAAAAAAATGAAAATTGAAACACTATCGAATAAGTGTGACTGTACGGTGAAGTTTAGATAATAATGATGGTAGGCAAAATCACTCTTTATTTTCACCGAGGAAAGAGTTTTCCTATATATATAATTAGGGTTTAAAAAATAAGGAGCGCCATTTTTTGCTAAGGTTTCGGTTGAGTGTTGATTTCAATCAAAGGGTTTCATGACTCCCATGCTCCACACCATTAATAAGAGACAAGGAAAAACCCAAGTCGCTTGCTCTTCCCCTTTTCTTATCCGTTTACAATTAAAATAAACAATAAACTAAATCCCTGTCGCATTTCTATCTCTATTCTTCCCTCTAAAATAGACTCATACAAGCCTTTACCCCAAAATTTCAACAACGCGCAATACGATGCGTGTACAATGCACACATGATCACTGCTCTTTCATTGCCGATTGAGAAGTTAATGCGCATATCCTCTACTTTATCGTTATTAAAAAACTCCTCCTTAAACATCATAATTTACTTTCAAACTCAAACTTTTCGATTTTTTTTATTTGTTTGCTCCAAAACTATCCCTATTTCGGACCTTAAAAGTAAGAAATTCCATAAAATAATAATTTGTGAGGATTGGATGGGACCTTAACCAAGTTGTTGAAAAGGCATCCCTTATTGGAACTGGAAAGAACGAATTTTTTTGAAATTTTCAGGTTGAATAATTCTGGATATTAAAAAGCTGAAATATATTGTATTTCATATATTCAAAATCTGAAAATCAGGTTCATATTTTATATTTCGAATATTCAAAATCTGAAAATCAGGTTGAAATTTCACAAATCTTAGACACGATTTAAATCGGACTTTTAGGATCCAAAATTTAAAAAAATAACTTGATTCCCAAAATATGGGCAGTTTGACAATTTAAAAGATTTGCAAAAGAAAAAACAAAAGGTATGAACATATTAACCAATAAAACATTAGATAAATTTTAAATAGCAAAAATTACGGAGGATATGCACGTAAATTTATTCCAGGTTGTGATGGTGAGAATCAAGGCTCGCAAAAAAAAAAAAAAGGCTTACAAAGGGTTGGTTGGCTCAACCTAGGCCTTACATACTAGGGCCTAGGTTACCAAATGTGGCCCAAGGGCTGGGGCAGCTATGGCCTGAGGATAAGCAGAGCTGGGCCTAGGCCACGTGCACAACACGGCTGGGTCAGACATAGTCGCCCTGACCTGCCCTTTTTATGTATTTTATTTATTTTTCTAAGTTTTATTGCATTTGGCTTGACCCAACCTAGACAAGCAAAGGGCCAAGGCCTCTTTAGCCCTATCATGGCTACGCTGCCCTTGGGTGGCCTATAGGGACTAGGGCTTGGCTAGGGCTAGCCGGGCCCAGGTTCTCGCCATTGCCAAACCTCAGTGAGAATGGTCACAAAGCCACGTGGGCACCCATTACATGATAATTAAAAAAAAGGGTGTGGTTTGTATATAGTAAAGGCTCTAAACAATCAAAAGAAAGCGCACCTTTAAATAGTGTCGAGAAATATAGTTTCAATACTTTGAATTTTTTGTGATAGCCTTAAAATATATTTTCATATTCAATAATAGAATTTAAAGCTTAAAAAAAAGTGTAGATTGAGCAGATTTATGAAAACTTGAAAATCTTGAAAATTGACGGTCAAAAAATACATTAGAAGATGGACTATTTAAAAAACTTAAAATCCTTTTTTTTTTCATGTCCATGCATCTTGATGTCGAGATGATCAATTTGAAAATATTTGAGCATCAAAACAACCTCCACTAATGAAAATTTTGAGTTGGGTTATAATTTGATTGTTTTGAGCATTAGCTTTATATAAGCTTTTATCAATTTTAAATAGCAAAAATTACAAGTGATAATTTGATTGTTTAGAGCATCAGCTTTATATAAACTTCTATCAATTTTAATAGCAAAAATTATAGAAGATATGCACATCAATTTATTCCACGTTGTGACGGTGAGAATTAAGTCTCGCAAAGGGTTGGTTGGCTCAGCCCGGCCCTTACAAGTTATGACCTTGCTACCAATTGTGGCCCGAGGCCCGGGCCGGGCAGGGGCTACGTCCATGACACGGTCTAACCCACCTTTTCTCTCTTATTATTATTTTTAAAAGTTTTATTGTATTTGGCCTGAGCCGGCTTAGACAAGCAAAGGGTCAAGGCCTCTTCGGCCCTGTCACAGCTACGCCGGGCTTGGGTGGCCTACAGGGACCAGGCCTGGCTAGGGCTAGCCGGGCTCTGGCCCGGGCCCTCACCCATTTCCACCCTTAGTGAGAATGGTTACAAAGCCACGTGGGCAGCCATTCCATGATAATTAAAAAAATGATTGGTCGAATTAGAGCAAGCGACTTACCTAAGCCCCTTAGTGCAATCACTTTTTAAAGAGTTTACTTGAAGCCAAGAAGTCTGCATGTATTCAACCTTCCCTTCCTTCATATGTAAGACTTCCCTGTATGCCGAGAGATATCAAACCAATTGAATCTCTGAGAAACGAAGATTGTGAATTCTCCAATATGGTTTTCAATGTTTTCTAAGCCATCTGTGCCTCCCACAAGACCAGACAAAATGAAGCTCTACATGATGAAGATAGTGAAACATGTAATTATGGTTTTAACTTTTGCAAAGGGTGAGACTCAGGCCATGCCTATGCCAGTCCTCCATCTCTCTCCTCCCTTGTGGCCTCAGCAAGAACACAGCAACTTTTTTGCCATGAATCTCAAAGCAAATGCTATAGACAGTCAATCCGGTGCCTGACACAGTGTCCAGTGGTGAGACCTGCAAACCTGCTATGTGGACTGCAATTCTCCAAAATGCCAAGCGGTTTGTAGAAGTAAAAAACCTTCTCTCAGCATATGGTTTGAAAACTTTGAATTATTAACAACATTGGGGGCTTAGGAATTATCTGATATCATGGTTTTGATTTTTTTTTTTGTTCCATCAGAATTGAAGTGATTGAATTACAAAATGTGGATGAAGTGCTGTCACTAGAAATGAAATATGAGCATACTTCAGCTCCCATGCCCACCCCTGCACCGTTATATGCAGACAAATATGGAAACTTTTCACTTCCGAAATTGCATCATACCTTATATCAACTATCCATAAGCACACATACACAGGATTCCAAATAGTTACATGAAAGTTGTGAGTTGAGCCACAGCCGCTACAACACTCTGTTCATTAAATAGTACATATATGTCTGCTGAGCTAAACCATTGAACTGGAGAGATGCGTAGTATACTGATTTGGGATGTTAAATGCATTGCCATTGTGATTGCAGTCTTAACTTATTGATTAATTCCAGTTTGAGGATGTGTTGCTACTTGCTACCCCATGAACATGATATCACCCTGTCTAGATCCATAAAAAATTTAGCTAGAACTAACTTGGGTATTGAATTTTTTGGAAAATAAGAAAGATAGATGGTTCCTAATGGAAATTAAGAACAATGGTTCCCACAAAACTTACTTCTTCGACCATGGAGATTTCTTGATTCTTGAGTAAAACCTTTTCAAATTACTTAATACTCTAAAAGCCAACTTCTTGAATGTAATAACTTGTCTGGTTTCTAAATCTAGTGAAAATAAGGCCCCTGTTGATGGGGGAGTGATGGGTTTATGGAGACGGGTTCAAGAAGACTAGAAGAGCTCAAATACCATGATTTGGGAATCCTTTGTTGAAATGCAAGAACGCAAGCAACTCTTTAAGAAATCTTTAGAGGGGTGCTACTTGGTATAATAGGTTGAGTTAATAGGAGAATGTGGATCTCTTTTTCATTATTGAGTATTATGATTTTAAGCTTTTGATATGCTTGAGCTGGGGAAAACTGGAAACTTGGAGTGATATTGCATAACCACATAAAAACAGTAGACCATAAAAGATAAAAAGAGAAACCAAACGAGATGCTGAAGATCCCATATGCTTCTCTTTTTGGTCTCAGTGAAATGGAGGGCTTGGAGAAGTGTGAGGTTATGCCAAGGAAAATTAACCCTTCATAACTGCCCATCCCAATAACAGGTAAAATGTTCCTACTCAAAAACAATGTACCTAACACCACTTTTTATTGATTGATTAGTTGTTGATTGTTTAAAAAATATAACCGAAGTTTAGTCCACCTTCCAAAACCAACCCACCCGTCCAGAAAGTAGAAGGCTTGCAGCCATATAAGCCTCACATCCTGGTTACAACCCACACAGGAGCTTTTGCAAATTGGATTCCATGAGTTTTATATTCCTGTTAGGAAAACTCAGTGCACACAATTTCATATCTAGAAGTGCACCAGAACATGTAAATATTACTGAGAATGAGATCAATGCGTTGCTTTGTGATATGCTATTTTATGTGTGTATGGAGAAAGTCCATGCAGCTCCTCCCCACCATTACCTGTTGCTTTGTGACATGCTTTTTTATGTGCGTATGGAGAAAGCCCTTGAACCTCCTCCCTACCATTACCTCTGAGAAGCAATCAGATGCAAAATTTTCAAAGCCTCGGTATAAAATGTTTGCTGGTTTTTATTTATACTACATGTCTTTTTAGTTCTTCCGAAGTGAACCACTATGTATAGACAAAGGAGATGATTGCATTTTAGTCTTTTTTTTAAGTTTTGATAGAAATACAGAAGTGGGAACATCTTGAAAGGCTTCACATTTCTAATTACATTGAAAATGCTAATGCCAGGCCTTTAAGAAATTAAGATAGAGGTCGTATGCTATGATGCTCTAACACATATTTCCTTTTAGTCCATCCAACCTTGAGAATTGAAGAATGATATGAAATGAATGGTTACTCTATGTAACCCTTGGTCGGTTCAGGACCATGCATTACTTATGTTCTATTCCTGAGAGAAGTCCTAATTAAGGACGAAAAAAATGTGCTTCATGCTTTTGCATGATGCCATGCATCTATAGACCTCTGACTGAAAATTCTTCCAGAGCTCTGCTATTCTCTACTTGATTAGTTAAGGGATTGTCTACCAAGGGACTATATATCTTTAATACATGGAGGTCACAATCATTCCCACTCATTCGATGTCAAATTGGATGGCTTGAGCCGAGTCATGAAATCCGAGAATTTGTTTTTGGAACTTTGTATCGATTCAATGACAATCTTACAACCACCCATTTTTAAATTTAAGGGACAAGAATGATTGTGACCTCCATGTACAAAAGATAAATGATCTCTTTATAGACAATCCCATTAGTTAATATGAGACAAAAATAACTTTATATGTGAGCCATTTGGAAATAAAATCATATAATTCACCCATTTCATTGTCTTCATCTCCTTTTTAATTACTAACTTTGATCATTTATGCAGAGCATAAACCCAACTGTGAAGGCTTTGAGGCTTCATGCTACGATCCGTAACTTATTAGTGGTGATGACATTGTGACCTACTTCCAACCCAATGAGGACCAAAGCTTCCCCTTAGTTTCTGATCCCAACTGTCCAGTAAAAGCCCACTTGATTGAACAACCACCAGAAACACAAAACCAACACTCACCATGGATCTGGGCCATCACCTTCACAATAGGAACCCATACATTCACAATTTCAGGTAAGAGGGAAAACTCAAAATGGGACCCACAAGACGTTCACCTTGAGTTCCTCTTCAATGGCCACCATGTCAGCATCCCAAAGGACCATCCATCCACATGGACTGCGCAAGAAACTGACGTTATCGTAGAGAGGATGGTAGAAACTGATAGTGTAATTGTATGTTTGCCTGAAATAACTGAAGTTTTTGTTGGAGTTTCACCAGTGATGAAAAGTAGTGGAGACTTCACCACATACTTAGAGGTGCAATTCCGAATTTTCAAGATTTTTCCTGATTATTTGGAAGCCGGTGATAAAAGCTACAAAAACAAGCATCGAAAGTCATGGCTTCAAATATTTAAGAAATCCATCAGTTGGTTCAAAGTCTCGGTGAAATCCAACCAAATATCAGCAGAGTTTCGGTGTCAACCAATGGGACTAATCGAAATATTTGTAGCAGCTTACTTACGCATGTCAATTGTTAGCTTGTTTTGCACTGACAAAATTGGAACTGATCCAGGAGGGCTCTCATCACAATTTGAGCCTAATTTGGGAGTTTCATCCAATATTGGACCAGATTCAATCCAAATTTCATCGAAGATTAGATACAATTCGAGAATTTCAACTGAAATCGGGCGAAACTCTGAATGGTATTTTTTCAAGTTATATTTTGTTAAAGTAGCCGACTTTAGGCCCAAGATTTTTATGATCCAGCCTGTTATAAGACTATCTGCTGATATTCGATCTGAGATTAAAAAACGACGGTCACTACCTCAACCTGAAACTGGTAGCCAGTCCGAAATTTCAGATATTACTATTGGATCACCAAACATAAATTGTGTCATCCCTGAAGACGTGACAGATGCAAACATTAAGAGAGTAGAGTCAGATATCTCTGTTGGTGTGGATTGCATTGAAGGGCATGGAGATGAGAATCCAACTGGTTTCTTTTTGTAATTTTGTGCATAACATTTCCTCCTTGTTTTTCATTCAAGGAATTTTGTTTCTGCAACTGTTAACAATTTTTTCTTTTGAAATGGAGTTTGAAAAAGTGCCTTTTGTAAATTTTGACTATAGTAAAAACAATAAAAAATTACGTATAAATCATGTGTCCTGCTGATAGTTTTCTTCTATTTGAAATTATAGTACAACCGTGGATGGAACTTCACTGGTCATTGTTAATTTAATAAATGATGTTGTTCAATATAGTTTTCATTCTAAGTTAGCTAATGATGGCAGATTTTAACTTTGAGTGAACTAAGCAGTCCATCGATGACCAGGTGATGAACTTCAGGAAGTTGACTTTCACCTTTAAAATAGTTTAATCTAGTAGCCCACCAAATGATGGCCCCGAGAGATAAAAAAACATTTGCATTTCCTTCTTTTTTAGATCCAAATCAACTTATTCTATTAAAATGATCTCCACATGATCGAAAACATTTGCATTTCCTTCTCTTTTAGATCCAAATCAACTTCTTCTATTAAATTGATCTCCACATGAATGGTTCCAGAGTTTTAGGGTCGAACAAATTTCCAGACACAGTGTAAGAGAGAAATAGTGCAATGCATCACTATATTCTTCCAAATCTTCAAAAACTGATTAGATATTTTTCACTTTTACTTTTCTGAATATAGTAACTATAAAACTTAACTAAGTTATACATAACGTTTTCACATTCTACATTCTAATTTATTGAGAAAGAAAATTAATGCTTGAAAGAAGTGTTAGTTTAACAAAAGAAATGCAATAAATATACAATCATTACAAAAAGGACATGGTTTCTTTGAGTCCATGTAGAAATGAGTCACCCCTTAAAAATCTATTTTCGAGATGGATTTTTGGACTTAATTTTTAAGGACATCATGAACATGAAAAGATAAATAAATTTTAAAAATTAAAAATAATAAATCTATTAAGAAAATATTTGGCTGGTTTGTTTTAATTGTACCACCTATTTGCATGGGATGCTTTATACCTGGGGGACCACAAATGTAAAAATACCGTCCCTGCTCCATGAAACAATTTTCCTTAGAAAAATATGTGGTGTGGAAACTAAAAATTAGTGATAAAGTGACGAATGTTTGGGAATTGAAAGCTCTGGGAGAGGCCATAGCATGTAACCATGTAACTTGAGAGGGGAATGGGGTCGCAAATGGTTAATTTCCATAAACAAAAGAGCCAATATGGACTACTTAAAGTGTTTTTAGCCGTAGGACCAGAGGCACACATTGGTCCCTGCAAGACGACGACATTCGCGTATCTAAACCGTTCACTCAAAAGGGGACGATAGGGGCATGCTGGAGAGGCTAAACAGTGAGACGATAACAGAGAGCCTCTTGCTCACCAAAATGGCGGGGGCCTTAGCTCTCGCTGCTGCCGCCATGGCAACCCCCGCTTCCTCTGCAACTCGCCTCTGTTCTCTCTCTTCATCGAGTTTCATTCACTTTCTCTGTCTTCGAAACCCTAGATATGGCCTCTTTCGTCTTAGAGCTCTACTCTCTTTCCATACCTGTTCCTCTCTTCTCTCTCCTCCTTCTCCTTCTATGTCCTCTTCAGCTCGTCCATTATCTTTTCCTTCGCCATCAAGGCTCTGTCGTTGCAGTAGCACTTCAACGGGAGAGTTGGCGTTGAAGATGAGTGAGAGCGGAGAGAAGGTTCGTGAGTTTAGAAAGAGGTTGAAGATTGCAGAGATAAAGGGCGGGCATGATGAGGGTTTGGATCGATTAGGGCAAAATCTGGTTGTTCGGGGATGGGTGCGCACTTGTAGAGTTCAGAGCTCCATCACTTTCATCGAGGTCTGGATTTGCTTATGTTTTGTTTTTGGTTTTGCTCTAATTTTTTATTATTTGGAGAAAATTCTTGATTGATGACGATTTTTTCGTTAAAATTGATGGTAGATGTTCTCGAACTATGGTCATTTGAAATCGAGGAGTCATTTGGTGTGGGAAATTTGAGGACTTTAGGTCAAGACCGTGGAAGAATTTATGGATTCAAGTCCTTGTTTCACAATTTGATAATGATTGTTGAGGCATTGTGGTCTCTTGAGATCATGGGGTCATGGGACTTGGTATTTGTTTTTGTTACATTCATGTTTAGAGCAAAATCATGCTGAATTTCTGTTTTAGAGCAAACTTTGATGATTGTTGTGGCATTAAGTTGCTAATATGTTTGATGGTTGATTCACACTCTTGCTGCAAGCCATATCCTCTATTTGAATTTGCATATGCCCTCATTTGGGTTTTCTTACTGGGATTATTTGATGAGTTGTGGGATCACAACATTTGATATCTACGTATATATTGTAACCATTATAAATCTCTAGATTATAAGAAGCCCCAAAGGAAGGTGATTTACTTCAAATGATGGCTTTTGGTGCATGGTTTGGAATTTGTCCGAGTCGACTCTGCAGGGCAGCTTGCCAAGCTGAGTTACGTGGTAAAAACTTGGTTGTATAAAAAATTTAAAATATATAAATTATATTTTTTACTAATCAATGTTAAATATAATTTTATTTTATTTTTATTTTTTTTAAAGATGTGTGAGTTACTTTACTGTTTTCCCTTTTTTTTTAGGATTTTTTTGAATTGTTTCCGGACATAACTCAATCTTTTGCAAATTCCATATTTTGGACACTTTTTTCCAACTTTTTTGAATTTCTAACTAATATTGTTTATAGTTTAATTTTCTTTTTACTGTTTGTTATGTTTAATGAAATTTTTTATTTTTTATTTTTTTTAGCCCTTTTTGGGCACTTACTATTCAGCGGGTCCTAGTGGACTTGCCCGAGCCCAAGGCAAGAAGTTGAACCTTGTTTTGGTGGATGAGTGAAGAGTAGTATTTCCCACCATCCATCTTTGGGAAACACCTTCATATTTGGTTCTCAGTCGGGGATACTTTCTTAACGGTAATATCATTTTATAATTGTCCAATGAAACGTGATCTTTCACTTTCAAACATGATTCATATAGTCAGGTTTACTACGTGTTGATGATGTGGATTTTAGTGCATCCCATGAGACAATGGGGATGCATTTCTTATAGCGTTCTTCATTGATCTTAAGTTGAGTAATTGCAGTTCTTGTAATAGCCTGCTCGAATTGGCTATTCAAAAAAGTAAAAACAAAATTATAGGACTACTAGTGCCTAGTACCATTGACTCTGTACTTTCACTTTCAGCAGATCTTAGCAACATTTTGTGGGGATACATTCACACGAACACACACACACACACATAAACACAGCCATGTGGAAAAAGATGAGATATGCCATGGCATACCTTATCTTGTATGCCAAATGGCTTAATATTAAACTTGGGCCATTGGACAATCCATGTTTACTTTATTTTTATTTCTTAGAAATTATTTTGCATGAAATTTGGGGTGTCCCTAGATCAAAACAGGGTGCCCCCAATAAAAATTAAAAAGAAAACATTTCAAATAAAAAAATTGATCAAAATAAGTAAAGGTACTTGTGCAACTGTTAGTAAAAGACAATGGTTACTTTTGTCATGTTTGTAAGGGCACCATTGAACTTTTGCTAAAGGATATTGTACTAATAAAGTGTAGAGGACTACTTACTTCTAAGTCGTGGGAGGCAGGCACACAGGGATAGG